AAAAACCCGTATTCTATATAGCAGTAGATTTTTTTTTTTTTTTTTTTTTTTTTTTTTTTTTTTTTTTTTTTTTTTTTTTTTTTTTTTTTTTTTTGAGCGCGGCGTGAGAGTCTCTCATGCTAACCACTCGGCTACCGCTTCAAACCCGGCACACTTAAAAATGGAGCTTCTTTCAAAAATTATCGGCACCCCGATGGTTCATATACCCTCGTAGTTGAAATTACCTCATAATATATATATTCCGTTCTTATTTATCCTCAGCAACCATCACAACTGATCTTGGTTGAATAATTAATTAATGCACACATTGATAAAGTAATATCCACAAGTTTAAATGTTGAAGGCCTTATCTGAAGATATTCAAAAGATTTAGAGGTAAATTCCAGGACGATACTATATACTATATTCCTCGACTTCACTTGCATATTGTTCAGAGAGTACAAAATAAATTTTTAAGAATGTTTGTCTTTAAGCTGGGAATAAAACTTTCCGATTATAGTTTAACCAGTTTCAATCACAGTTAAATTTAATCCCATTAAAAGCACGCAGGTTACAGTTCTACTTACAAACTTTTTTTAAAATTATTAATTTATACATTGTCTGTCCTCAACTTTTAAGCAATATCAACTTCTCCGCTATTCCTTAACACCTTAGACAGCTTAGTTCCTTCTATATGCCACGGCACAATACTAACTATGGCATAAACTCACCGATGGACAAGCTAATGTGCTCTGCAAATGACATCCCTCCTTTACAATTATTTAATTCCTCTATTAATATTTTTCTGAACCATCTTCACAATACGTTAAACAAATCTTGACATTCTAGGCATATACAAGTTTTTCGCCTACTCGTGTTACAAACTTTGCCTGTAGAGTACATTTGAAAAGGAACAAAAATGTCCTAATTAACTATGGTCCAAATCCCAACAGTTTCGGAGTTATTTCACTTTTTCAACATAATCTCTGGTGCGCAGTCACCTAGAGTATGCCAGTGTTGTTTGGTCGCCGAGTTCTTTAGATGGATCTTACATGATAGATAGGGTACAGAGAAAGGCCACGAAATACCTGTATTACAAATTATGCAATCACAGGAACTACCATCATTGCTCCTATGAAGCCCAGACTTGCTCTCGTAGGCCTGGATTCTCTGGAGAATAGAAGAGTTTTGGCTTCCGTTGTGTTTCTGTGGAAGATCCTAAATAATTTTATTGATTACCCGGAGATATTATCTTGTATTGGCTTTAGGGATTCCCAGCGTCAACCACGAACCCATGAATTGTTTGGTACTTCACGGCACAGGACCAAATACGGGTTACAGTCTTCAATCTCCACAGCTGTGCATTACTTAAATAAATTCGCTATCAGTGCGGACCCCTTCTCCTCGTCTCTTCAGATCTTTAAACAAAATATTAAACATGCTTTAAAATGTTGAGGGTTTATTTATTACTTTTGTTGTGTTATTTATTAATCTATTTATATTATTGATTTTTTGTTAAAAGTGTAAGCCCTTTTTGCTATTATTTTTACTGCTATTATTTTTATATCCTTTTTTAGGATTTTATATCATAATGATTGTTTTGTTGTGTTGCTTGACTGTCCTATGCTTGAGACTTGACCTGTTTGGACTGTAAATAAATACAATAAATACAATAAAAAAAAATAATTGTAACTAACAGGGGTAAATTTTAAATGTGATAGCTCTGACCAATGTCAAATGTTAAAATAATAAACTACAATTTTAATAAGCGTTTGTTTCATCATTTGTTGGATTATTGTCATTACCCGAACTGTTATTGATGGTGTTATTGACATTTAATGTCTAGGTAATGTGTAATACTGGGCCTCCAAAAATCTTTTAGCATGCGGACGTCTTTCTCAGAATTTTTGGATAGTGTCCCACCAAATTTTGTGGAACTCTAGAATTCATTTTTATACTCTACCCTCCATACTTAATTTCCGTATTGGTATTCGTTAAAAAGAAAGTCTGCTTTCCAAATTGCCCATTCTTGACAGGCAACTCGGCACGTCAATAATCTAATGCAATTTAATGCAGTTCTAAGTTTTACGATTATATTTTGGTACATTTTTTTATTATTAGCTTAAATCAAATATAATTATATGATTATTCAGAAATCGTGAGATGCGGTCGATGATGATGTAGGTTTCAGAAAAACATTTTCTTTATCGTGCTAACGTTTCGATCTTTATTGAGATCATCTTCAGGGCCTGGGATTTACAAACATTGTTTAAATTTAACAAATACATGTAAGATGTGGAGAAAAGTGAATTTATACAATGCAAAATATATTTTTTATATTCAATTAAATTATTTCTACTCACTCAAAGTGTTTGTTTTCTGTGTAATTGTGCCATTCTTGCGTGTCGTGTTGTGAGTGCCAGTGAGATTTTGCTGTTATATGTTTATATACGTTGGATTTTGAAGGGGTGGGGAAGGATAATTATATGTATGTATATATATAATAATTATATATATTTACAGCTGTACCACTTTTGTTATTAGCCATTGAAGATGGTCTATATTAGACAAAAACGCATTTGTCGAAATAAACGCCTATTCCGACTTTATAACTTATCCTGTAAGATGCTTTTAGTGAGTTTTTATTTATATTTCTTGCACGAGTTGTAATGAAGATTTGAGTTGGAGCGCTTCCCATGAAAAAATAAATCTGTTTCTCTGGAGTTCTGTGTGTGTACCCTCAAAACAAAGTCGCAGTTTAACGCCGGGAAAACACTTACTCGAAGAAACGCTATGCGACGCTACCCGATGCTACCGGACGGGGGTAATACAACCTTATGAAAAATTGGACTTTGGATTTGCATCGGGTAGCGTCGCATAGCGTTGCTTCGGGTGTGTTCACCGCTTAAATGGAACCATTGAATTGTTTCATAGTATTTTCACAGAACTCGTAATGTGAGCTTTACCTATAAGCCTTTATAAGCCCCAAAATTAAATAGCTATCGTGGTACTAACGCTTTTTAGATATTCCACTTCCACTCTATTGGGGCTCGCAGGATTTGAGCATGCTGGACTTATTTTGCTTAAAAAAACGTAGAATGAATAAATAAATTTCGTTTTCAATACTCATTGTTATCCGTTTTGTAATTTTATTTATTAATTCTACTTTATTTTTGTTATTATTAATTTTCTCGAAGCTCGCCGCAGATACCCTAGTTAGGGTCAGCGGATCCCCGTTTGGAGGGCCGGGGTGTAATGACTTAAACTGCAATTTTTAATAGGCGTTGGCTTCATAATTTGATGAATTATTGTTTTTAAGCGAGAGAATATTGACGATATTATTGAAATGTAATGTCTATGTAATATGTAATGTATTTATTTCCAAGATAGATTAAATTGCAGATGTTCTATTATACAATCTTTACATTTCATTTTACAAATTACGCAAAATTTGTATTTCCACGAATAGTGTAACAATTCCACTATAAATAATTAAGGATTTTGATAGAGAGAAGAAAATCCTTTTATTTTCGTGGAGGGTTGATCCCGAGAAGTGGTCGGGAATGAAACGCTAACAAATATCGGAATCGTCTGAGAGAGTTGATCACCATTTCCTCAATGGCGTTACTAGCTAAAAAGACCACTGGAAGCCCCACAAAAGACCTGGAGCCTCGTTGCAACTCCGGGCCCCTTGCTTTTATTTCCAAGCAACTCGGACAAAAGCTCGGACCGGAGGCTGCGTGGTTTGCGGAGAGAAACTCGTACCGCAGAAACCCCATCCGACTGCAATAACGGGCTCTAAATGAACTCTCAGTGTATTTTAATGTCCTTCGCCCTGTTTTAAGATCCTCTTTCATCCTGAATAGAACGATACTTCGTTTTCTCATTTCGCATTTAGCTACGAAGACGCTTTTATATGCTGGCTCCAGTGACAAACACGATATTAAGGCGGTGCCTAATGGTTCATCAAATATTTAGTTTAACTTAAAAATATTTAGAAATCAAAACAACACGATTCTGAGATGGAACATTAAATTTAATTACGGCAAATAACTATTTCTTTTCTTAGCCAATTTTCTTTCCTGATTTCCTTACCAATCAATTGTATCAATGTAGAGATTTAATAGGATAAATATTAATATACAAATCAATAATTTATTTATTTATGTTTTTTAATTATTTTTTTCTTTGACCGCGGCTTCCGACATCTAGGTCCGACATAGCCCCCAACTAATTCTATATTCTATTTCCACTTTCAAACAATACATTCATACAAATAAATACATTCATACACATAAATACATCCATACAATACACTCATTCCGTGTGGTGGGTAGAGTACTTGATATTCCTCCACCGATCTATACTTAAACTAATCTAGATTGGGGTCGATGGAGTACTTTTATAAATATTCCGCCATCGACCCCGAACACACACTCATACGCTCTCAACGTTCGAGGGGCGATGATGACGTTATATTTCACCCTCATCCCTCGCCATTCACGCTAATAAATACATGCACTCAGACAACATATAGACACACAACACATAAGATATATTATGTACAATAAAAAAAAAAAAAAACCAATTTCCCCTAAAAAGCGGAACAGGGATTCTGAAATTCGCTGCAGTGCTCGAGTACTATCTTCAGATTGGATGTCATGCCTACACACTCCCTGTAGGAAGCCAAAGCATGACCAGTATGTGGGACACATCGAGCAACTTTTCTCTGCATAAGGGGCACCTGCGCGGGCCAAGAGCAGGTACCCGTGTGTCAACCGCGTATGGCCTATTCTTAATCGCGTAAGGACGATTCCTTGTTTCCAGCTAAGGTTCTCGGGGGGGGGGCATCTACGAATCCTGCTCTTGGCGCGCAAAAGCCTCTCGGACGACCCGGCCCACTGTCTCTGCAATCTTTCTTTTATCATGTTCTTTACTGCTAGCTTGGCGTCAGAGGGCCTGGTCGCGATGGTCCGGTCTGGAGGGTGGGACGTCCTGGCCTTTGCAGCTTTGTCCGCACGTTACTCTGGTCTCCCTTCATAACGAATAAATTTTTCGCCTTTTACTAAAAATTTCCGTGGAGGGAGACTCACTGATAAGTCTGTAACTTATTGGATTTCTTATACTTACTTAACTTCATTATCATTCTTAATCTTTTCGACATAAGGGAAAATGGCTCTGCAACTCATGTACAAAGTACGTACGTACATAAATTGTGAATCGACCTAAGTTTGCCTCGTAACACGGTATTTCTATCAGATCCTGCCTCATTTACACTAGCAAGAACTTTCACACTATTAAATACATTCCAGATGGCTAGGAACCTACATATTATATACCCAATTAACAATTTGGGTGGCACAGGGATTTTGCCTACAATAACTGTAAAATATATGTACAGGTTGAGTCAATTTTGGTCCACTATAGAGAAAAGCCATTAGTTGCGAACAGATCAGTCATTTGACACTTTTCCTTTTCCAAAAACAGAGGTGAGTCAGATTTCAAAGCACCAAAAAAATGCATTAACATAAAAAAATTTCTGCATGTACTTTGCATTAATCGCATAAATTTGAGTGACTTTTATAAAAAAAAAAAACATTAATTAATCTTTTCTTGATGAACCTAATGAAGTTTAATTATTACAAACTTCATGAGAAGAGGAATACTAATGAAATTTACAACTCAATTACTCATTATATATGCCATTAAAAAAAGTTAACTGTAATAATTATGTCTTATGTCATTAGAATAAACACAGTAAAGGTTTTATAAGAAAAAACTAACATTAAACAACTAAATCTTTTTTAAAAAGATAGTTCCTACTCTGAGTAAGTTGTTTTGCAACGATCCGGATTTCGAGCCTTTTGGAGTATCATCAGATTGAAGGACTTCTACCACTACGTCTCTCGACATGAATTGCCAAAGTGAACCCGCTGATACCTCCGCCAACGCGACGTTCCAATTAGCAGCTGATTTTTTTAATGGCGCTCAATTTGAACGTGCGAAACGCGGAATTTATAACACAAATAAATATTATACTAGGAAAAACTTAATATTATTAAATTACTATAAAAATAATAACAATTAAAATAATCAGTTTAATTATTTGCATGTTTGATATTATTTATGTACATATTTAAAATGGGAGGTAGATCAAAAGCTGTTATATTATTAATGCATTTATCACCATGTTCAATTTTACATTTTTTAATTCAAATTTCTCAAACCAATCTAATTTTTTCCCTTTGTTGAAACTATGTAACACTCTTGTATTTAGATTTGAAATGAAATTATGTTTTGTTTCTTTTAGATGGTCCTTAAATTCCGAAAATTTGCTCGATTTAGGCAAGTGTTCTTTTACTCTTGTTTTTATTTCTCTACCGCTTTGTTCTATATATTTAATATCACATTCATTACAATTGAGTTGGTAAAGCCCACTTTTTGCCAAGTTGTCTACTTTGTCTTTAGGTTTTGAGAGGATGTTTTTAAGTGAACCCGTACTTCTAAAAGCTATTCTTGTTTAAAAATTTTACTAACTTTTTCCGATAATTCACCAATGTATGGTGTACCATAATAAACGACCTAATAGAAATAGACGTATATAGAAAACCCACAACTACAGACACTATGATACCAACGGATTCTTCCTACCCATGGTCCCAAAAGGCAACAAAGGGAAAGAATTAGCTTGGTTTGAGAATTTTTTTTTTACTTCATTTATTTGTATCTACAACTGTACATGTATTATACAACCAGCAGATTGGATTTCGGATTATGTGTTTGGCATTATGGGCGATATAGAGAAAGCTACCCATTGGCAGCCGCTCTGGATTAATGAAATGATATTAATCATTTAAGAGGTTTCTTATCCATATTCTTTTCAGACGTTTACGTGGTAATTGTGGGGAATGGAGTAATCGTATTTGTGTGTTGGTGTGATTTTGTAATTTACTATGAAAACGTCTGTAATATGTTTTGATGGATGAAAAAGCTGTTGGGATTTGAAGATCTTTGCGAAGTGTATTATTGTTTACATAAAAAGGGGCAGAAACAATTAGTCTTAAAATTTTGGATTGAAAACTTTGTAATCTTTGAATATTACAAATTTCAATATACTTCATATACTTGGCACCCGAACATCCAAATAGGTTGGAGTAGGTATGTGTATGTCGAAAGTTTTGATTTTAATAGTAATTTTGATTGTCGGTTGAGTAGGTAATAAAGAATTTTAAATCGTTTCTTCAGTGTCTGTTTTTTTAATCGTGTGTGTGGATTCCAAGTTAGCCTTCTATCAAATGTAAGTCCTAAATAGGTAACTTTGTCGGATTGAGGAACAGGTTCATTGTATAAGTATATGCTAGCACAAGTCTCATGACGGAGTGTAAAGGTGATATGTTGTGACTTTGAGGGATCAAACTTTATTTTCCAAAGATTACTCCATTTTTCAATTGTTGATATGTGGTTTTGTAACATGAGTGAAGGTTGTGTAGAAGAGAGATGGCTTGTTAATATGGCGGTATCATCTGCGTATGTGGCGGTGAGTGTATTCTTATTTGTGGGTGTATCAGAAGTAAAAATTGTGTACAACAGCGGAGCGAGTATTGACCCTTGTGGCACACCTGAAAGCACTTCTTCCATCCCAGAAGTCTCCGTATCCTGGTTTACTGCGAAAAATCTCTCTTTACGGTATGATTGTATAATCGGATAATAGGCCTGGGGTAAAAATAATTTTAATTTGTATAATAATCCCTCATGCCATACTTTGTCGAAGGCCTGAGAAACATCTAGAAACACTCCAGTCGCGTAGTTTCTGCTCGAGACACGAAGTAATGAAATCAGTCACTCTGTGACGTTGATGATTGGTGGAATGATGGGTTCGAAAGCCAAATTGATGGTTTGGTAAGATGTTGTTCGAAGTAGCAATATAGATATTTCTTTTGTAAATTAATTTTTCGAATAATTTAGAAGGAACGGGTAACTGGGAATTGAGAAATTTGAAATTAAAAAATGTTAAACTGAACATGGTAATAAATGCATTAATAATATAACAGATTTTGATCTACCTCCCGTTTTAAATATGTACATAAATAATATCAAACATCCAAATAATTAAAATAATTATTTTAATTGTTATTATTTTTATAGTAATTTAATAATATCAAGTATTGACTACTATAATATTTATTTGTGTTATAATTTCCACGTTTCGTACTTTCAAATTGATCGCCATTAAAAAAATCAGCTGCTAATTGAAACGTCTCGTTGGCGGAGGTATCAGCGGGTTCACTTTGGCAATTCATGTCGAGAGACGTGATTGTAGAAGTCCTTCAACCTGATGATGAACTAAAAGGCTCGAAATCCGGATCGTTGCAAAACAACTTACTCTGAGTAGGAACTATCTTTTTAAAAAAGGATTGAACACCACACTCACTCCATCATTTATCATTTCTATTAAACAACTAAGATATTTTTTCATACAATGTGTATAGATCAGAAAGTTTGGGATGTCAGTGCAGTCATATCAAAGTCTGTGCCTCTCTCCTTTTACCTTAAACACATTTACTCTAAAAAAATTCCCTAATTTAGTGGGTCTATGCAATACTCTTTATTCTGCCACGAACTCACATGCACACACATAATCCTTCACTCAAGCAATCGTGCTAATGAACACATTCAATCAGGTCGATACAGTAACCTACTTCGGTGGGTCTCTGGGCTATTCTAAATTCCATCACAAATTCATTTATTCTGTCATACATCCACGCCAATTAATACAGTCATTCTAGAAGGAAAAAATCACGTGTGAAAAACCATCAAAAGCGTCCATATACATTTATCTGCCTCAGGTGACCAATCAAATTTCCACTGGTAAAGAAATTGAACTTAAAACCGGCTCTGTATGTTACAATGATCCGTTGCGTTTCTTTATTATAATATTTCCGAATAAAATTCAAAAGGATGCATCCCTCCTTAATTCATTTTTCATAACGTCAATAAAAATTGATATGATTTTTTAAAACAGACTCTTTTTAAATTACTTCTTTTGATTAGTTATGTTATCAATGATGTTCAGTACGTATATAGTTTATTTCCCCGGGTTGTTATAATACTAAACTACCAAAACTTTTCATTGCTTCCAAGTTCCTTACTTATTCCCGAATAGAGTTGAGTGGCATTTACTCGAACCATGCCCAGAAAAATTTCGAGATGAACAAAGCTAATTGTTATGCAATTCGTGAAATCAATGGCATCTAATAATTTCGATTTTTCGAGGAAGTTCAAAGCAACTTGAACTCCAATGGAAAATAAATATTCTCAGGTATTGTTTAGTTTTATGACTTTTCTTTTTAATAACATTAAATTGCAAACACAAATTTTAAAAAATGTTTGTTTTTCGCAGTAAAGTATTGTTTTTTTAATTGTATAAAAGGCTAAATCCTTCTGGCTTTGAGTCTGTTTAAAGTTGTTCTGAAATAGTAAACCCCCAGGGGCCACACACCGTGAACCCAAGGCCTTATTTGCTAGATTTCTATGCTTAGATTCATCTTATGCAGAGCTAGTTTTTGGTAGAAGATAAAAACTGTTAACAGTTTTATTCGGAAACGTCCACATCCTTAGAGATCTGGCTAACAGCCCAGGGAGCTCCACGTAGCACCCGCCCGGCCACTGCGTGCACATACACATACGTACATATATGTAAATACACACCCCTCCCCGCTCGACATTTCTATATATTTTATGTAGGTTGCGATATTAAATTTATATATTTCCTTATCAGCCTTATCATCATTAGAAACCGAATCATTCGACCCATGCAATCGGCATATAGAATTTTCTTAAGGTGGAGTCGAATTGTACGGTAGAAATTTTTTTATTTAAATTTCACTCATTCCGTTATAAGGTGATTCACTGTTATATACTTGTTGCATTTTTCACAAGGAGTAAGTTCCTCGGCCATTTGGAGTTCACGGTTGTATCACCTGTAGCCAGTTGTCAGTATCACCTTAAGATATCCCAACTGCAGATTATGCAGTCAGGTCGAGGAAACTACCACCCATATCATCTTTGAATGCGAAGCAATGCCTCATAGGAGATTTAACCTGGAATACAGAAAAAGACCTAGGGAATGAATTATAC